CTGTATAGGCTCGAAAGCCTACTACCAATTAAGCATATTAGGTGATGTGCATCTCTGTAATGAGAAGGGGTGTGGTCTAATGACATCAACACCCTATATCAGGTGTGCATAATTATTAGGCAACTTCCTTTCCTTTGGCAAAATGGGTCAAAAGAAGGACTTGACAGGCTCAGAAAAGTCAAAAATAGTGAGATATCTTGCAGAGGGATGCAGCACTCTTAAAATTGCAAAGCTTCTGAAGCGTGATCATCGAACAATCAAGCGTTTCATTCAAAATAGTCAACATGGTCGCAAGAAGCGTGTGGAAAAACCAAGGCGCAAAATAACTGCCCATGAACTGAGAAAAGTCAAGCGTGCAGCTGCCACGATGCCACTTGCCACCAGTTTGGCCATATTTCAGAGCTGCAACATCACTGGAGTGCCCAAAAGCACAAGGTGTGCAATACTCAGAGACATGGCCAAGGTAAGAAAGGCTGAAAGACGACCACCACTGAACAAGACACACAAGCTGAAACGTCAAGACTGGGCCAAGAAATATCTCAAGACTGAGTTTTCTAAGGTTTTATGGACTGATGAAATGAGAGTGAGTCTTGATGGGCCAGATGGATGGGCCCGTGGCTGGATTGGTAAAGGGCAGAGAGCTCCAGTCCGACTCAGACGCCAGCAAGGTGGAGGTGGAGTACTGGTTTGGGCTGGTATCATCAAAGATGAGCTTGTGGGGCCTTTTCGGGTTGAGGATGGAGTCAAGCTCAACTCCCAGTCCTACTGCCAGTTCCTGGAAGACACCTTCTTCAAGCAGTGGTACAGGAAGAAGTCTGCATCCTTCAAGAAAAACATGATTTTCATGCAGGACAATGCTCCATCACACGCGTCCAAGTACTCCACAGCGTGGCTGGCAAGAAAGGGTATAAAAGAAGAAAATCTAATGACATGGCCTCCTTGTTCACCTGATCTGAACCCCATTGAGAACCTGTGGTCCATCATCAAATGTGAGATTTACAAGGAGGGAAAACAGTACACCTCTCTGAACAGTGTCTGGGAGGCTGTGGTTGCTGCTGCACGCAATGTTGATGGTGAACAGATCAAAACACTGACAGAATCCATGGATGGCAGGCTTTTGAGTGTCCTTGCAAAGAAAGGTGGCTATATTGGTCACTGATTTGTTTTTGTTTTGTTTTTGAATATCAGAAATGTATATTTGTGAATGTTGAGATGTTATATTGGTTTCACTGGTAATAATAAATAATTGAAATGGGTATATATTTGTTTTTTGTTAAGTTGCCTAATAATTATGCACAGTAATAGTCACCTGCACACACAGATATCCCCCTAACATAGCTAAAACTAAAAACAAACTAAAAACTACTTCCAAAAATATTCAGCTTTGATATTAATGAGTTTTTTGGGTTCATTGAGAACATGGTTGTTGTTCAATAATAAAATTAATCCTCAAAAATACAACTTGCCTAATAATTCTGCACTCCCTGTAGTTCCTACAGCATTTTTTGCCCACATATATTAAATATATCCTGCATCCTTTGTGACCCACATATATTCAAATCGCCCAAAGCTCCATATGAAAAAGGTTCTCTCTTGGACTCCAATCTAGAGACTATGCAGGATGTTGGAGTATAGTGTAGTTATGGTTATGGTCTTAGGGCCAACTAGAGATCTTTTCTGAGTTCTGCCATGATGCATTTTCCTCCTGAACTATTCTTTGGAAAATGGTACACTGTGGCCATTATTAGAGGCATTATTAGAGGCATTATTAGAGGCATATGGTAGCAATAATGTATACATTCACAATACACAATTGGTCATGAATTCATGCTAAATCCTGACCCTAATGTTTCTATGTTGCAAAAATTGAGATTCATTAGAACAAGCAACCATAACTTCATGTCTCTATTTAGTTATCACAATCTTCTGCAACTGTAGTCTACCTGCTTCAGGGGTCAGTAAATGTTGCATTCTTCCTGACAACTGTCCTATAATGTTTTTGGTTTAAAAATTCTTTGTAGCAGTTCTAGGAAAAGATTAGGTAAAATCCACGCTATATTTGTAAGCCGCTGCCCTATTCATGCATATTTACAAGTAGCACACATTTGCTGTAAAGTCACGGTCTTTCTCAATGATAACTCAATCTATTTCTGCTCTTTTCTTCTATTGGATGTGTATTAAGAAAATTACTAAGTTGCTCCCGGTCATCAAAAACGTAGGTTTAAATACAAACTGTGCAAGCCTTTACATGCCCTGCTTGGAAGTAAATCAAGATGTTTAATCCCCCTTCTCCTTCTTCTATCCTTGCCCTCTGTCAACAAACCCTGGAGCAGGGACAGGAGGTTCAGTGGCAGAGATATTGATTGTGACACAGAAGGCGCTAATAGTGATCACAAGCTATGTTGGACATGTGCCAGTACGAATATCCACAAAGCTTAATATTCTGCATTTGAGATTTTTTGAAAGCTACAAGGTTATCACTGCTGACAGACAAACAAAGCATTACAGAAGCCGGAGTAGAGAAATCATTGAGATACCTAAAACGTGGCAGCCTTCCAGGCTGAATGAGTCACAAACTAATTCTAGAGAAACAAAAATAAATGTTACACATTCCCCTGCTAATCTTGCTAGTCTGTGGTTGTCACATACTGTGTTTGTTTTATGTGTGCACTAAGATATAATGTGTTACTATATAAAACAGCTAAACAAAGGATATATAGTTTCAGCTGCCAAATTGCGGTTTTGCCCTTTTCTTACTTTATTTTTATTTGAAATATAAAGAAAGTCTACAATTTATTGCTCAGTCTTCTGTTTATCATAGAAGGGAAAAAATCTGTTAATATCAATCTTCAGGCATGTTTATCTACAGCCAATAATGTGGGCGGTGATTAAATAATGGAGCACCACGTTTCATTATTTTTATGTAGGTCATCCTGGAAACATGTTCATGAAGACATTTATATGACCTTTCCAAAACGAAACAAATACATCATTAACATAGAAGCTTGCATTTAATCCAACATGCTATTTAATTGAACTTGTGCAGTTTGTGCAATATTTTATTCACCATGGAAGGCTGAAACAGTTGGTCATTCTAGGAATATAACCTGCAACCCTGAAATTACTACATGTATTCTCGTAGAAATGACTACATGTATTCTCACCAACCAAGTTTTGATTTTGTTTTACCAGCATTACTGTTTTGGTCTAACTTTTTTCACATTGGTTCTCTTATTGCTATTTACCAATTATAACCAACTGTTAAAATCAAATAAAGAATAGGCTGTTATTCTGTACAAAGCTAAGCCACATATATTTTAGATTTTTTTGTTTCTAAGGGAAAATGCTTATGCATTTCTGATCTATTATTTTTCCCATATGTTTTTACAGAAAGATGAGATTTAATGAGATGGAAAGTATAACATTTTTAGTGTGTTGAATGCTCAAGCAACTTATACCCTAAATGTGGAGTCGGCAACCTTAGGCACTCTAGATGTTGTGGACTACATCTCCAATTTTATCACATGACAAGAGGCTTCATATTTTGCATTAACTTCCTTTACTACTGCAATAGCAGCAAAGAGCAAAAAAAAAATGACCAATAAGAGATAAGCATAGTATATAATAAGCCCCTCCCACTGAGGCACTTTCTTTGCTGCTCCATTACAAGTCAGGTCAGAATATTAAGTGTCGCACATTTTTTCACTGGCTTGTCTTGTCATTATCATGATTTTAAAATATATGTTTATTGTCTTTTTGGGGGAATTTATTGTTATCTGCATCCTTTTTGCTTGGGCTGCACTGTTGGGCTAGGTTTCTTCCTATCCTTTTTTCCCGCCTTTTTTTTCTCCCCCTCTGTTCCTTCCCTCACACTGTTCAGGTAATATACCAATGGTTTTAATACATCTGGGTATATTTTACTGTCTTCTGTGGCTACGCTAACCACTTTTGGGAGCCCTCGCGGCACGTCACTAGTTCATGCAGCAATGTTTGCTTATTCGGGCCATTCACCTACCGAATGCCACATTACGTTACGCATTTGGTGAATATCTCGTGGACATCAGTGTTCGCCAATACCTACCTGTCGAACATGACTAACACATATCCTGTTGGACAGAGGCTTTCCCATTGGGTTTGCATTTTTGCAGCGAACAGTTGTTCACGCACAATAGCGTTCGCAGCTTAATGCCGTTCATGGAAATTTTCACTGACCCGTTCGTGAGTTTCCCTGCGAATCCCATATACGGTTTCGCAGACTTTTCAGCGCCCATTTTGGATTTCGCATCACAAGAATCCCGACGGCCATTTTAAACACTGAGTGTGATTCAGAGTTTGTGCTGTGTGGACATATTCCCTCAGTGTGCTGTACTATGTGTATTTTTTCCGCAAATATCTTGCTATTGCTGTGTTTACTGCCTGTCTCAGGGACCTGCTACAGGTTACTGGAAACCTTAAGGGTGGGCCAGCCAGTCAGGTTCTCGTGCATAGTACTCCGGCTTGGGGTGAGCCCCAATTTTGATTGGCGCTGCTGAGTGGAGCTGTGCACACAGTCTCCTTTATTTCTGTGTGAGCCTCAGATTTTGTCTGCCTATACGTGAAATGGCCACATATACTATAGGCCATTAAAACCCTGTTGGTGGTGCCTGCTGACAATCTGCCATAAGTGCCTATCCACCTTATAACTACAATACTAATTTGGGAGAACCAGAGTGTGTACTGAGATGGAAGATTCCCAAATGCCAGCAGACCTACAGGCCCTTATTAACGTGGCTGTAGCCACTTTAGTTGAAAAGGCCTTAGCTAAGTGCTACTGGTTACCCAAGAACCGCCAAAACTGTCCACAAAGCGCACTCAAAGAGAGACAAGAGAGATGTCAGATGACTCAGATTCATCCACTAAAGGGCAATCGCACTTGGTGAACGCCACTGGAAGGGCAAAGGGTCAAAACAGAAGCCTAACAAAGGCAAAGCACTCCTAAAAAAGGCAAACACGTACAAGCCATGCCCCACATGGTATACGAGGCTTCCTCGGACAAGGAGTGTGATGTTCCCCCCTCATTGTCGGTTCTGGACGAATGGCAGGTCGAACAGTCTCAGTTGGATGACGGGGTTCACAACTCTTTTGTTAAGAAGAAATTCCTGGGTGAGCCCCAGCAAAAGGAGGAGGAAAATGTGGCGAAGGCCTCTGAACAACCAAATAGTTAGCGCTTCTACGACGTCACAGTATGATCCAGCACGTAGAATTGTGTAACACAGAGGACTGATAGGTATCGTATACCGGACCTTAGAATGGCCGGACTAACATACGAAAGAAAAGTCAGGAATAGCGGAGGTCAAAGGATACAGAAAGAGATACAACAATAAGGAAAAGCCAGCAGTCAGGGATACCAGAAAACAGGGAAGTCAAAAACAATGCCAAAGTCAAATAACCAGAATTACCGGAATAAATAACGCGCTCTCGGACAGCCACAAGGGAAACCACGACAGGGCACTGAGCAGGATGAGAACTGGGCCTAAATACCCCTCCTCTAGATCTGATAGGCTGTAACCGGCCTTTGACCCCAAAGTCAGTTACCAGGTTTCCATTTGCATAATTGCTGCTCAGCATTAACCCTTCTGTGGATAAGGTTGCTGCTCGGCACAACTTTTCCTGTGTGGACAGTAAATGTCATTAACGATATTTTTATAAGCGGATGAATATGTGACAAAGTCAAAGTATGTACGACCCGAGGAACATCCGTCATCCTCATTCAGGGGTTTGGACACCACCACCACACCTCACGAAGTGTATGCACTTCTGGTTAAGAAAAGCCATGGACAAGGAGGTCCACAAAAGACTATGTGCCGAAAGTTGCGCTCACACTGGAATTGGACCAGCTCATGCTGGCCTTCATGGCGAAAGAGGGCAGAGACCCCAGAAAAGGGGTCGAGAAAGGCTTTAAAGCTTTAAGATAAGCTCCTAGATTTTGGCTGGGCTGGCCAGCAGAGGGGTTGTGTTGTCAGCCAATTCTGACCATTAGGCCCCTGAAATCCATGGTCACAACCCTTCTACCCGGAAGTTGACAGACGTCAACAATTTCATTACTCATGGAGTTCTAACAGGGGTCGCGGAGGCCATGGACATGCTCATGGACACTCCTCGACAGGTAAGACACCGTTACAAAACCGTAATACCTTTTGTCTTAACTACATCACCTCCAGTGGGTCACCTTTTTTATTTTTTCCAAAACTGGGTAGAACTATCCACAGATGAATGGGTGTTACAGACAGCATAGAGTTCGAGGTCACTTCAACTCAAACCTTTCCACCTCATCCTCTCTTTTTCACAGCTTCGGACGCCAGCCTTATAGATCTGGAACTAACAGATCTACAAACGAAAGGTCACACAACCGACCACGTCTTCAGCAATATGTTCCTCGTACGGAAAAAGACAGAGGAATACTATCCAGTAATCAATCTGCGAGACATGAATGTACATGTTACCTACCACCATTTACCACACGTTCTCCTTCACACCCTTTGCTATGATTGCAAGAGTACTCCACCACATCAGGATCTAGTGATCCTCCTGCCAGATGAATGGATGATGCTCAGAGACCCCATGAGGATCCCACATCCGATGCTCCAAAACGGACGCCTATCTTTGGTAGCCTGGACTCTTTCGGGGTCATTGGTGCACCGAGGAGTTATCAGCAGAGGCTAAAGACATCCTCTGGGAGTCATGGGCTCCTGGATCTATAAGATGTCACCTCTAAGCCTGACTCTCATGGTCTAATTGGTGTGTGGGACCAGATCTCGATCCCTTTACGGCCTCTGTCTCCTCCATGTTGAATTTCCTGGCATCTATGTTTTCAGAAGGTAAGTCTTATCGCTCTATTAATGTTGTTCGCTCAGCGATTTCAGCGGCTCATACTCCAGTCCAAGGGAAACCTATAGAGCAGGATACTTTGATTTGTCGCCTACTTTGAGGCAGACGGCTGTGAAGACCACCGGCCCCGAAATACTCCACCTTTTGGGATGAAACCCAGGTCCTACGATTCCTAAAAGAATGAACTTCTAATGAGAACCTGTCTTTGAGACAGCTGTTAGCCAAATTGACTCTCCTCCTCTCTTTAGTCTCCTTCCGTCGGGTGTCAGACATTTGGGCTTTTGGTGCGGATGCCTTTTCCTTTTCTAGAGAAGGTGTTAAATTCCGGGTATCAAGACATACGAAATCAGACTGAACGTTGTTTTTCTACCCTTTTTTTCCATCGGAACACTAAATCTGTGTAGTACAAACTCTTTGTGCTTATTTAGAGGCTACAGCCATGATATGGCCTAGATCCTCTCATCAACTGTTAAGCCACACGGTCCGGTTTCAATCACTTCCTCAAGATGGGTGAGGTGGCTTTTATTTGGTGTGGGGTGCGGCGGCGTCATCCGCCTTTGCAGCAGGTGTCTCCTTGTCGGACATTCTAGCAGCAGCGGATTGGTCGCGGGAGTCTACCTTTTGCTTTCGTCCTCCTCCCAATACTGCGCTCTCTCTATTACAGTAGCATTAAAATTGGAAAATATGAAGCCTTCTGTCATGTCATAAAATTGAAGATTATGCTAGCCTTAGTGTACTAATAATCTTAATTTTAATAATGAGAGGAGGCGAGAATTTTCTCCCCCATGTCTTTCTCTTCTCTCCCTGGGATTTAGGTTTTAGATGTGGCTCATTTGCTTTTTTCCTTGCTAAATTGTTTAGTTCACTTTCACTGCCAAATGTATTCACATGTATGCTATGCATTTCTTTTGTATGTCTATTATTATTATCTTGTAGTATGGTATCGATGTGTTAGTCAGTTAGACTATATTGGATATTCGGTACATTTAACAAGTAATGTTGCTAGTTAGCCAGACTGTGATTTCTCATGTTTTTTTGGCTATACCACTAAAATGTTTTTGGTCTCATTTCAGCTTAATGCAACACAACACCGCATTCGGAAGTATTCATGAGAAGAGATTTGTACATTCCGGCTGTGGTTTGGATTTTAAGAGGACGATCCTTATTTGTTAGAACATGTTGGACATTTCCTGGTTCGGAGTTATGATTCGTTTTGACTTGTAATGTCGCTATTTCAAGATGAAGTGCCTCAGTGGTGGGGGGGGGGCTTATTATATACTATGCTCTCTTATTGGTCATTTATTTTTCTATGTTCTTTGCTGCTATTGGAGTAGTAAAGGAAGTTAATGCAAAATACTTGCCTCCTGTCATTATTAAAATTAAGGTTATTAGTACACTAAAGCTAGCATAATCTTAAATATGCTTTACGGAGCATTATGGCTGTAATATCTGGAGTGCCAAATATTGCCTACCCCAGCCCTATATGGTACTAAGTGGTCAGCTTAACATTATTCAAAAACCCAGTTAAAAATTATCAACTAGCTTTGGCATCATATTTTTTTCTAATTTCGATTTGATTTATTATCTGAATTTTCACAGGCCAAACTCAATATATTGGTTGGCTGGTTGAAATAGAATTCATAATTTATCAGATGCTCCTGAAATTGTTCAAACATGATGGAATTTGCTTGTAGTTCCTATATAGTTCCTCTTGATTTCTGAGTGGCACAAGAGCCACATGGATATAATCTATAGCTTCCAGGACATTGGACAATCCTCCACTTTTGTGGAATCCTCTCTTCACCATAAGACAGCATTTATTGGTTTAGAGAATGGAAATGAACATGGAGAAGATGGGCTGAGATATTCCACTCACAACACCCTCCATCCTCTTGATACCAGATTAAAGGAAATGTATTAAAATTAACATCTACATCAACCAAAGTAGTGCCCTATGCTTCTGGGACAATGGCTCCCAGTCATCCTTAAGAATGTCTTGCAATCTAAGGTGACTTGTACAGATTAAGTGATACGATTCTACTATTTCCACATCTCTCATGAATTCCAATAAAACCCTCTGGTATATGTTGTAAGGGGCCCTGTGTCTTCTCAGTGGTCTGCATGGCTGGCCAGCCCTGCCCTGCTGTCCCTGCTGCGGCTCCACAATAAAATATCTCCTCTCTTCAATGGCTTTACTGATTTTATTTTATTGGGTATGGATGATCTCAATGAGTCACATGTGTGTTTCAATTAGACAAGTTTGTAGTTTTACGTTCATGTGTATATGTACAATGATTTTATGATTGAGTCTGACACCCTATAAATCATGTAGAAGAGTTAATTGTGCAATAAACTCCACTTCTACATGCTTTATAAGAGTATTGGACTTAGACTACAGCAGACCTTGAAAGCACCTCTTGCTCCATATACAAAGCCACTGCCTGAGTATCTACGTGATACTGTTAAGCCACTTCCAATCACTAGCCGACTCCAGAAGTGCCTACACCTACACCTGATTTGGCATTCAGGTGCCATTCTTACTTGAGGACTTCGTTCCATTATACAAGAGTTCCGGGACAGCTCTGCTCTCCACATTTGAAGCATTAATTAATATTTGTGAATGCTATATACATCACTGGGTGAGATCTGCCCTTTATCTATTATTTTTGCTTTTTTTCTATTTTTCGAGACGTATATTTTGGTCTACTTTAATAAAAATTCTGGACTGGGATATTAGAGACTTTCTATATTTTGAGCATTAAGCATACATAAAACAATTATTTGTGTGTGTGTTTTGTTTTATTTCATTGTTTAGTTAATGTTGTTGGGTTTTTTTTTATCCCTTGCTATAGGAACTTATCTTTAGACAGCTACAAACTAATATATTGATCTTTGTTCACAGCGCTATGGAATCTGATGGGACTATATAAATAATAAAATAGTAATAATATGTTTAGTCAGATGTGCGTTGTTAGAACCAACTTCAGGCATTACAGTATTAATTCTATTTTCAGTCTTTTTTTTATGCAGCACCTTGAGTTGATAGTATATATACGGATTCGTTCTAAAAATAAATTAGCAAGCCTCTGTAATAAAATAATGACATTGTCAGGTCTTGTAGTGTTAATTGCATAATACCTATGATTGGCTCATTAAGCCTTATAAGGAGCTTTTGTGATGTTTTAAAAAGTTCCCTGCATTAGTACAATGTATCCCTTAAAAAAAATTCTTTAGTAAAATGAACTTTTTTTGCCCTTTTATTATATTTTTTCAGTAATAATAAAATCTAATATAAATTTGAAAAAATATATATTTTTTAAATGTCTGTGCAGATTCC